AGGATAAAGGCTAAAGACCCAAAATAAACCCCCAAGGAATGCAACCTTGCATTTGAATCTTGGTGTTTATATGCTTGAGGTTTCTCGCTTTTGAGCTTGTTTTTTTGCTTTTTTGTTTTTGCATTTGAGAATTGTATTTGAATCTTCTTTTGAATAAGTGTGGGCAATCCCGATCATGCGGTCTATCACTCACTTGGCATTCATGTTTCTCAAGCACAGTGCCGAGCACTCGATAAGAGACGCAATTCGAGACATGTTCATATCAAAGATCAGACATTGGAACACTTTCCCTTTTGCACACTTTTATCTGTATTTGCTTTTTGAATTTTTGAAATTTTAGAATTTGGTAAAAACACTCAAGATTTTGCTTTGAAAATGGCATAAGTTGCACATCAACCAATCCCAAGGTTAGGTAGATGTGGGTTGAAAAAAAAAAAGGAAAGGCTAATCGTTAGACGAGGCTCAAAGTGATTTATCAAAAGAGATTGTATATTTGAATGGGTAAAGATGATATGATGTGGCTATAAGGGATGCCTCAAATCATTGGTATACCTTGTGTCTAGCTCGGCGTGGATTTTTTTTTTTTTTTTTTATGAAACGTAATGCAATGATCATATGCAAGGAAATAAATGCTCAATTTATTGAAATGGAAAGGGTAAAAACAAACTCATGAGATAAATCTTAAAAATGATGGAGGGTGCCTATGTTAGACTCATTGGGGAAGGGGAAAACAAGAAATAAAGAAAGAAAATTCATGAATTTCCGAAAAAATCGAAGTGCCTTGTGCCTCGTCTCATTATTACTCGGTCTTCTTGCCGGCAGGAGGAATAGGAAGCTTGTTATATAAACCCGTTGTCGGACTTGATTAATCGCTTTTTGTTGTTCAAACTGAATGGTTTCGTTTTTATAATTTTTGAATTGTTCTAAAGTTTTATAAGTTGAATTAATCAAATTCATTTTTTCTCGTTCTATTTCAGAATATCCATTCACTCAAAACTGATCCGCGTTTATTTCGACTTTCTTTAAGCGAGCCCTGGCTTTTTCCAACTATTCAATGGCCTTTCCGCGTAGTTCGTCTGAATTTTGAATAGCATTCAAGATCCTCTGTTTTTTATTATCTAGTAAATCACTTAATGAAGTGGATTATCTTTATCAATAAAATATTGGATGGCCTCCTTTAATTTCCAACAAATCTCGGTAGTATGACCTCTACCTTGAGGGTACTTGCAATGGGCGTAGGATTCTAGTTGGGCGATCTTCTTTCAAGCGTCGGATCTTGAATAGGTTCGATGGGAGTAATGAGCCCCTTGGCATGGAGACGATCGAAGGCGGTGTCATAGCTCATCCCAATAGGGGTGAACTATTTCCTTTGTTTCCTTCTTGGTCCTTGATTGTCTATGGCTAAGACATCATTAAGATCGTAGGTTCTAAAATTGTTATTAGAGTGGGTGTTTTCGGAAGAAGAAGGAGTCTTCTTTCCTTTCCAGCCACTGATGTTACTATATTTAGCAGCTCTTGATTTCATAAGGTCATCTTCAATATCAATGCATATGTATAGACAGCCTTGAAAGTGTTCAGAGTTTGATATTTCAAGTGCTTTTGATACTTTTCTTGGAGATTTCTAATGAACAATCTCACGAATTCTTTTTCACTTAGGACTTCAATCATTTTGGCAGAAGTCATCGCTTTCCATCAATTGTAAAATGTAGTGAAACCCTCATTTTCCTTTTTCTTAAGGATTTTGAGTTCTCTACGATCAGTTTCTACTTGGATATTATACTTGTATCTATCAATGAAAACATGCGTAAAAATTTTCTCGGAACCTATAGAAAAGAACCATTGTTGGAATACTGGTTCCAAGGAAAGAGAGAAGAGCGAAGGGAAGATTTTCTTGTCAATCCCCTTGATTTCCATGATTGTCTCAAAGCCTTTAAGTAAAAGTAAGGATTGTCAGTGGCTTTGAACTTAGGGATGTCAGTGGCTGAGAACTTGTGCTGAAGAAGATCTTTGTCCAGTGAGATTCCCTTGGTACTCATATCAAGATACTTACAACTATTTGATACTTGGCTTAGCGTCTCTTCGATGCATGATTGTCTCAAGTGGAACTTGTTTATTAGAATCTTCAACTTTCTCCATTCGAATATTAAAAAACTAGTGTGATTTTTACCACATTAACTCTGTTAGGGACCTGTAGAGAATATTTCAACTCACGCCCTACTGTGGTTCATATTTTTAAGCAGGGCGGCATTCCAAGGAAAAGAAGCTAGAGAAAAAGAGTCGCCAACAAGTTTTAGGAACTTGTAAACCGTTCACAGGTGTGAAGGTTACACCCCATTCACAATCATAGAGGTTGCTAACTCCATAGTGGTCCAGAACCATGACTGGATGTTCGGGAATGATGGTATGAATTTGACCTAAGAGAAGTCAAACCCGCCCTAAATAGGCCTCTACTCAATTCTTATGATATTCATGCACGCTTTTCGATCAACATACATACATCCAGTTAATCCTAAACCTGTTTAATCTACGTTAGTTGATTATTAATACACAATCAAATATTTATTGGTGATCACTTGAATTAAAATCATATCATGCCTAAATCAAATTATTAATTATCTTATTAGGCATGATTTCAAGTATAAATTTCCTTTAAACCTACAAAAAGGTGCATGATCAAGCAATAGCAATAAATCATGAATAATCAAACAACATATGATTAATATAACAATCATCATCATAACATCGTTAGTAGTAAGATCCTAGACATGATACTAAATGGATTAATAACAAATCCTAGCATGTCACTAATAACAAGATCAAAGCTTTAGCCTAAACATGATACTAGAAATCAAAATAACATCCAAAGCATGATTTCTACTCCAAAATCAAAAGAATAATTAAGTAGTTGAATTAATTACTTTGATGCCTCGACTTTCTTACTATTAAAACAATACACATGTTAGTAAACTTCAAGAAAGTTAAAATCAATAAAGTAAATAAATCAAATATGAATTGAAATATAGATTTGGGACCAAACCCTTAAAACTATCAACCTTTCACGTCTAGGTCGAAGGCAACGTCGAATATGGCTTGGAGTATTCGAAACTCACGAAGGAGGTATTGTGACTGATTTAGGGGTGTATCAAGAATGCGTTTAGGCTAAGGACATGGATGATTGATAAGGATCGATGATGATTGGAGCTAGATGATTATAGCTAATTGGGGCTTATGATTGGTGATTCTAGCTGATATGAAAACGGGGAACATGACCCCTATTTATAAGAAAAAAGAGAGTCGAATGATCAGAACAAGATCAGAATTTGAATGGAAGTAAACCTGACTTTGACGCGTCGCGCTGGGTCTGGGCGTTGCGCGCTGGTTCCAAAAAAGATATTAAAGTCGTACGGAGTTTGATTTCTAATGGGATTATGTTTGCAAAAGATATCCGAACATCTTTAAATTTCAACGGGATAAGAACTATCATATGAGAAGTTTTATTCAATTTCGAACTATTTGATCTTTATCTTTTAGGAAAGGATAAACTACAACCTCCTAGAAACTTCTAAAAGAGTCCTAATTGATTTAGGATTAGGAGTATGATCATATAGGGCCTAAATAAAGTATTTGACCCCATATAATCATTGGGTCGTAGGTAAGGTGGACCTAGGCTCGGTTTGGGCTCGGTTTAGCATTTTGGCCATAACTTATTCGTTTTAAGTCGTATTTGAGCTTATAATATATCGTTGGAAAGCTCTTTTCAAAACCCATCCAACTAAACAATAATTGGACAGGTATTATGGACCAAAATAATCTGGTTTTGATGTTTTTGATTTAGACAAGAACTGAATGATTTTCAGGGCACGAAATAGATGATTTTGGGTTTAAAGACACGAAATGAATAATTTTGAATTAAAATGATTTGGGTAAGGTTATAAATATGGTAAAGGCTTAAGGAATCTTCGCAAGACTCTTCAACTCTTTACCGAACTCGTTAATCAAAACGTGAAAGGTACTCATCACCGGGTTTGGTTTTTAGTTTCCTTCATTCTCTTACAGTAAGCTCTCACATGCTTCTGAATTGCATCCATGCGTCCGTTAGAGTTGAGAATCATTATCTGCAAAAACATAAGAAGAATCCCTTTAAGGACTTATAATTCTACTACTAACTATACCATAACTTACAAGGGAAAACGAAAGTAGAACTTAAGCCAAACGAGGGATCTAACATGAACCGCTTACTTTTACCAACAAATTGCCTCTCCCATACTTTCTCATAAATTCTATGCGCAACCCTGACATACTGCATAACTATTTGACAAAAGTTAGAATAATAGTAATTATGAAATGGATTTGATCAAACTATGTGTTCGATCTAATTACCTGGTCACAAACCTGTCCCCTACAACTTGCAATCAACCCGCATAAATTCAACTTGGAATAATCTCCATCAAAACTATGCATAGTTGGTTCAGTATTACAGCCAAAAAATTTTGCTACTATCACAAAAAAAAAAAATAAATAAATAAAAAAAAAAGGAAATTTTGAAAATAACCACCCAAAAAATAGTCACTTTTAAATTTAACCACCCAAAAAAAAAAATTAAAATAACCACCCATTAAATTAAATTTTCACACAGATGACCACCCATTTTGAAAATCCGGTGGAAATTTAAGACATTGGGCCCACCATAACTTATTTCCCTCCTTTTTTTTCGTTCTATTTCGACTTCCCTCACAGTTGAACTTCCAGAAGTTATTGTTAGTTGCTTCTTGGTTGAATTTCTCAGAAAAATCTCAAAAAAATCTGTTTAATCTATTTTGCGCTCTCTGTGTATTCATAATTTATCAAAAATTGGGGAATTTAAAACCCTAATTAGTGGTGGAAACCCTAATTTTCTCTCTGAAACAAAGGACTTGCTCGTAGGTGATTGCGCGCCATCTGTTTGGGTGTTTGCTGGAGACCAGTAGCGTTGGGCAGGAATCTGACAATCGCAGTGTACAATGGCGACGTCAGAGGTAATGTATTTTGTTCCTTGTCTTTAATTGTGAAAGTTGTTGGTTGTTGATGGTATAATTGCAAATATGTGCAAAGTTAGGGTTCATTATGTAGTTCATTGAATTAATTAAAGCAGGTCAGTTATTGTTGAATACTTTATGTATGTTGGTAGGACAGTGATACAGGGATATGTTTTTTTACATTATGCCCAATACATTGCTTTTTTTAATGCTGGTTTGTTTAGTGGTAGTTGAATTGTTTAATGATGTTTTGAGGACAACTAGTTGTGGGATTAGTTTATTGCTGCTATGTTGAACACATTGCATTATGTATGTTTACTTCTGATATGGGGATTAGTGAGGCATTTGGTGTTGTGTACATGTATTGATAGTGGCTTATGATATGTACAGATTGCTGTTGAAAATGAATTTGTGGATGTTAAGGTTAGATTAGGGGGTGGGTTTGTGAATAAAATAAATAAAGGGAAAGACTTTGTGTGGATATGATGGTGGCTGTGAATATTGGAGGTACAAGTGTAGACTGAGTGAGATGTCAGTCCACTTATTAATGGAATCTTGCATTTGGGGCTTTGTAAAGTTAGATTTGCATGTGCCTAGCATGTGGAACATTTGGTATAAAAAAAGGGGAAGAGTTGGTCAACTGGTAAACAAGAAATAGTTACTGATGATGATGTGAGGGGGTTTTTGGAGACAAAGACCAAGGATGGGTTTGTTGTAGTATACTATACTACCCAAGACATTCAAAGCAAAGCAGTGAAGCCCGGTGAACTTAGGAGAAGCCCAAGGTTTAAGCAGTAATTGGGAAATAAAGAGAAGGATGGGAAATAAAACCAAAAAAAAAGGGGCTAGGGTTGGAAAGCAAAGTTAAAAAACAACAAGAAAGCAATTGTTTTCAGAGAGTGTGAAAGGGAAGAAGAAGCAAGGTGAAGAATAAGGCACATCTGGGGAAAGTAGGGTGAAGGGAAAGGTACTGGGAAAGGGTAAAACACAGGGGAAAAGCAAAGGGAAAAAAAAGGGAGAGGTTGACAGTGAGTTGTTTGATTCAGAAACTGGATCTGGTTCTTCAAGCTCTGACTGCCCTGATACTGACATAGAGTGGGAAGCAGGGGAAGAAGAGGGGGAAGATGAGGAGACTGATATTGGAGATGGTCTTAACAGCACAATTAACAACATCATTGATGTTGTGAATGAAAGTCTCCAAACTGAGCAACAAAGGATTGAATATGAAGTGCAAAACAATGATGATCTGCTTGAAAGTGAACTGTTGAGCAAAGAAGTTGTTGTGCAGGGAGAGTTCACTTTTGACAGTGAGGAGTTAGATAGCCCTAAAGGGTCTGATGATGAGCAGGATAATTGTCCATGGTTTCATGCATCAACAGACTTCAAGAAGGCCATTCAATTTGTGAAAGGACAGAAGTTTTTTAATAACAAAGTGTTCAGGGAAGCTTTGAAGAAGCATGCCATTGAGAACAGGTATGAATAATGGTATTTGCACAATGACAGCAGCAAAATAACAACACAGTGTAGAAGAAGATGTAAATGCAAATGGAATAAAAAAAAGAACTAGGCTGCCTATGTGCACATGTGTTGGGGGGAGTAAATGCCATTTTAAGGTTGTGGGTAGGAGGTCTGTGAACCAGGATTTTTGGCAGATTAAGAGTCTGCATTTGAAGCACAAGTGTGTAAGGGTTAGAAGCAATCTAAATTTGTCTGCTGAATTTTTAGCTGAGAGGTACATTGAGGAGTGGAGAAGTGACCCTGGGAAGAAGCTTAAAATTTTCAGGAGGAGAGTGTTAGGTGATTTAGGTATTGAAATTAAATATTATAAAGCTTGGATGGCAAGAGCAAGAGCTAAGCTTATGATATATGGTTCTGCAGCAGAACAGTATGCAAGAGTGTGGGACTATGGGAAGGCTCTCATGCAATACAGCCCTGGTACTGAGGGCAATGTGGTAGTTGATGGATTGGAGCAGATTGAACCACCTCTGTTCTTAAGAATGTTCATATGCCTTGCACCACTTAGGAAAGGATTCATGTCTAGTTGCAAACCACTTATTGGGGTTGATGGCTGCCATCTGAAAGGTCCCTATCCTGGTCAGATTTTGGTTGCAGTTGGTAAGGATGGCTATAACAATATTTACCCCATTGCTTGGGCAACAGCTGAAATTGAAAATACAGAAACTTGGGTGTGGTTTCTTGAGAGCTTGATGAAAGCAGTGAGAGATGAAGATCGAGGCCTGGGCTATACCTTTATATCTGATAGGCAAAAGGTAAACATAAATACAAATCTAATATGAATGCTTTGTTTATTTTTCATGGCAATTTCCTAATTTGATGTATGCTGTGTGAACAGGGACTGGTAGAAGCTTTGCACCAAGTGGTTCCTTATGCAGACACTAGGTTTTGTGTCAGACATATTTGGGCAAACTTCAAGTTGCAATTTAGTGGCTCAACTTTCAAGGAACTCTTCTGGTCTGCAGCAAGGGCTACAACACTGGTATGCATAAATACCAAGATATAATTGTATTTCATATTTGTTTGTGACTGGTTGGCATTCTGATTTTTGTGTGTAAATGTGTGTATGGTTTGTCTTACATTTGTAGTTTGCCTTTGAGGTTGCAATGGAGTCAATTAGGTTCTTCTCTGAAGAAGCATTTGAATACCTTTCTGACATTCTAGCCAAACATTGGTCTAGACATGCCTTTAGCACACATCCTAAGTCAAACATGTTGCTCAACAACATTTGTGAAACTTTTAATGCTGTAATTAAAGAAGCTAGGGACAAGCCTATTTTGACTCAAATGGAGTGGCTTAGGAGGTATGCCATGAAAAGAAACAATGACAAATGGGATGCTTATCAGAAAATGGAAGGGAAGGTTGTTCCTTATGTGAAGAAGCTTTTTCAGAAGATGGAACCAGCTGCAAGGCATTGCATTGTGCAACTGTCTAGGGGTGACACTTATGAGGTAGAACTCAATTCTGATCTAGTCATAGCGGACTTGAGTCAGGCAACATGCACCTGCTTTCATTGGGATCTAACTGGTATCCCTTGTGTCCATGCATATGCATGCATCATGGACAAAAGGGCTGATCCAGAAGATTATGTTGATAGTGCTTATCTTGTGTCAACATATATGTTGGCATATAGGCTGGAGATTGCAGCAATGCCTGGTCCACACTATTGGCAAAAGGTGCAGCTTAGGCAACCTCTACCACCAGCAATCAAAATACAGCCTGGTAGGCCTAAATCAAAGAAGAGGAAGTTGGAAAAGGGAGAAATTGGGGGGCAAAAGCAAGAGGGGCAGCAGCCACTCAAAAGGAAGGCCACTTGTAAGAATTGTGGCCACCTAGGCCACTATGCTAAAACCTGCAAAAACCCTCATGTGAAACCTGTTGCAGTGTCCTCCCCAAAAAAAGAAGGTGGCAGACCCCATTTGGACACTGACTGGGTCAAAGATCAGAGAAAGAGGAGAGCAGAAATAGCTTTGAAAAAGGTAATAAGTAAGATTTTAGGTTTTTGCATTTTTGGTTTTGGCAGTCTAGCTTTAATTGCTAACTCTATAATGTGGTTTACAGAGTGCAGTTGGTGGTACACCTGGTCCTAACAGCATAGGGAGAAAGAAGTTTCCTCAAGAAGAGCAGCAGAGGAAGCAGCAACAGCAACATGACAGTCAGCAGAGCCAAGCTGCATCCACAACAGCTGCCACAAGCTATGCACCTCCTCCAACATCATCCACATCAGCTGCAGCCACCCTCCCAAGTCAAATGCCACCAAGAAGAAAGCTACAAGTCATTAGACCTAAGAAGTAGTATAATGTACTTAGACTTAGGAAGTACATGAATCACCTCCCATTTTGTATGTTAGAAGGGGGATATAGTTAGTTGGATGTTTTTGAACTTGTTAATGACTATGTGATATGCTTTTGGATGCTACAATGCTTATGGATGTAATGTGTTGGGTTGAACACAAATTTTTTTGTCAGACATGTTCATTGACAGTAATAACATGTTCATTGACAGTAATCACTTTGCACATAACAGTAATATCTTCTTCATTTCATTCCATATTAAAACATATTCATTCATAGCTTGTTCATTACATTCCATAATATAACATATGAATAGCATTACAATCATCCCAGCTTGCACCTCCCCATTAAACCAGTTTATTCAATACAACATAGCCTAAAACTGAAAAAACAGAAAACATAACAACTACAACAAGTTTGAGGTTGCTGTCAGGATTGACATTGTTGCTGATCATCTTCTTCCTGTCACCACTTAGGGCCTTGCATTTCAGTTTCAAAGTGTCCACCTCATTCAACAAACATCTTCTCTGCCCAGTCAAGTCATCAACCTCTCTCTTCAGTGAGTTCACTTCAGCCTTGATCAACCTATTGTCAAGAAGAAGTTGGTTAATCACCTTTTTCTACCAATCTGTTCCATCTTCAGTGTCAACCCATTCAAAACACTTGCACCCCCTTGTCTCAGTATTAGGGTCATAGAATTTGCATGCCCTGAATTTCCTCCCTGGGTTCTCCCTAGTTCAAGATGTCAGCTTTGCAAAAGGCAGTCCACAATTGCATTTCTTCTGGTTTGGGGGAGATGAGCTATTCCAAGACATTTTACAACCTGCAAATACCAAAATAAGAGTCATTTACCAAACACTTTCATTACACAATGTGTTTTAGAGTTTATACTCAACCACACATACTCATTGTGGGGGTTGACCTCCATAATGAGGATAACCAAGGGGTGGCCATGTCCCATTTTGCTTCATCATGTGCTCTAATATACAGTCAGCCAAGAAACCAGGGTCATCTATGCTCCCAACATGTATGGTATACATGTCCTTATTAGGTAACCTCCTAATCATCTTGAACACATCACCATCATCTTCTAAAGTCCAATACTTCCCTTTATATATATATTGAAATGTGGGATGGGCAGGAGGTCAATTGATCCTTCTACTGGATCTTCCATTTCACGAATTTGATCCTCAATTGCTATTGTTGTGTCCAACAAATTATGTTTGCCTACTTCATATTCAATGTCTATAGCAACACTCAAGTACATAAACCTGAATAACACCTTATTCTCCTCCATTACTGCATCAAGATTTCCAACAACAACTAATCAATGACAATCATGCATCCAACAAAACCCCAATTATATTGATTTACTTCTCCTTTTATTTCAAACAGTAGGTTGCAAATTTTAATTATATTGACTTACCAGTTCTATTTCGCAATCATATTAGACTAATATTTGCTAAAGCTACTCTAATATATTTGGCTTTCTTCTATGGGAAAAATCAATTTTTATGAAACTAGAGATGCAATTCATTAAGATATTTGTCTATGTTTCATTCAATGTTAGTTTCTTTAAATGAATGTATTATATTATTGGTGTATTTTATGTACACTTTTTTTTTATTGGCAAAGAATTAAATTAAAATGCAATTTGGCTATTAGTTAGCAACATGATTTGATTGACAGGAAACACAATTTGTTTGGTAATGAATACATGATGCATGGATTAATTTAATTTGTATGAGATCTTCCATTTTGAGTAGGCAATGACACTTTGTGTATGCATTATACATTAGCTCCAATGTGAGAAAAACAAAGTAGAATGCTTTTAACTGTATGTAGGTTTCATATTGTGAGTGGTATTTGATATGTTTTTTTTAGTTTTGCTTTAAAGTTAATAAAAGTTAACCTTAACTAATCTGATATTTTTTAACTATAACTAGAAATTATATTGATTGGCAGAGGCCTACATTAGAGTATCACCATATATCACAGACGAAAACTTGGTGAGAGATAACTAGCTAAAATATCACAAGTCCTTAAACCTTAACATTTACTTGTAACTATTATAATATATGATCCAGAAGCAAAGGGGCCAACTACTGCTGGTAAGTTAAGTTGTTGAAGTAGAAGCCTGCAATTCTAATTCATAGAGCTCTTTATTTAAATTAATACTTGTATAGATGACTCTGAATGCGAATGTGATTTCAAATTAAGCACCTAATGTTTTTTAGGTCCCTGAAGCTACGTTGTTTCTGCCAACCTTTTGCGTGTCATGCTACTTGGATCTCTTGTAATATATTATGTATTATGTACTTTGGTTTCTGCTTTAAGAATGACTACACACTACAACATTTACCTTCTTATGCCATGGGTATTTTGGTCGTGGTCTGTTGTGGCACAAAACCCTAAGGCTAGCTTTCTAGCCACGGGTATGTTAACTCCCATGGCATATCCTTAAACTACTGTCATGGTTTTTCTAGTTGCTAATTTACCACTTAGCCATGAGTACTCATGTAGCTAAACTAACACTTAGCCACGAGTTATCTTGTGGTTAATAACCTACTGGCCACAAGTAAAATTATGGCTATTATAGTACATGAGCCACTAGCAATCCTATGGCAAACAATAAAATTAATTAATAAAAGACTAAGTTAGCTACAGGTAAATATATGGCTATCAAGTGACATTTCCACAACCTTTCATACCTTGAACCATTTACATAGCCATAACACCTCTTGTGGCTAAATAAAATACCTTGACACAACCTTAGCCACGGAAATTAGTAGCCAAAAAAGCTGTAATGTCCAACTAGTTTAATAGACACAGTTTGCATGAGATTTGTAGTAGAGATATAATAAATATTATATTTGTACGATATAAAATCAAACATGTAAAAATAACATTAATTTATACTTGTAAATATTAATACAAAGTATTTAAAATCCCAAAAAATTACATCATACCATCACTAGTTTATAAAGTCATGCTTCACAAAAGATATCGTTTGTCCATAATATCTCAAAAACATTGAATATTCAATGACATTTTATATCCCCTGCATCTTCTAATTTGGTGAAGTAGTAAGTTGTTGAGTTCTTCACAGAGTCATCCCTACAAAAAAGAAAAAAAAAAGAGTTAAAAATGGAAACTATTTCAAATATAAATGAAGCAAATTAAAACCATTCATTAAAGCTATTATATAATTTAAGCTCCAAATAACAAAGAGCAACTACCCTTATCCTAAGGAAGGTATGACACCTTGTTATTTCAACACAAGTATTGGTGTTCCATATAAACCTTAAAAGTAAAAGATATGTAATTAAATACTGCTAAAAAAAACTTACTATTGATCAAATTAAGTTGTCTTAATGATCATGGTTTGCTGATGGTGCTCCAAGCTTCTCACACAGCTTCTTGAACCTTTCCTCCCACATTTGATCACGAGTAGCTAATTTTTCCTCCATTTTTTCTTCCATAGCCTTTTTAGCTTCTTCAACTCTTTCGTCAGCTTTCTTCTCAATTTCAATAACCTGATTAGCAAGATTGATACGACTTGGTTTCTCTTTAAAATGATCTGTAATGCTTTTATTTCATCCATAAGCACGCTTGAAATTTTCTTGAAGACACCAACAAATACAACAATCTAGTAATCTCACATCATCTCCCTTCTATTTAATCCACTTCGAGCCTCACACCATATACATTTACTTCATCACATTCATTATTGGCTTAAACCATTTAGTTTGTTGGGAAGCAACGGCAAGAGCCTTTCCCTGGTCACTAATATTCTGAAGATATCGGTCACTATTGGCATCAAGCGCACGGATGTGACAAATCATAAGGGCCTCCAGTAGCTCCTTCCTGTAAAAAGGATTTATTGCCTATGAATGAGAATTCTTCTTAGAAACAAAATTTAAGACACCATGCATACAAACAAAAGCTTAAAGCAAATGAAGTTTCAAAATACTACCTATTTCTTTTAAATCTATTAATCTACTTATTTTGACTTTTTAGATTTGTCAGCAAGAAACTTTGACCACTAATATCTTTAATTATCAATAATTAAACATCATAAAAAGTTGACATTCAGAGACTATAGGTTGAGATATTTTTAACAAGATCCTAGATTATTATGATTTTCTCAAGAGAATCACTAATATTAGTCAAAGTGGAGCATGTGAATAGCACAAAAGGTCAAAATGGGTACCTGAAAAGAAAAAAATGTAGGGAGTAACACTTGTGAAAAAAGTCGTCCTTCCCATCAATGCACAAGTCATACAAACATACTTCCAACACCTCATGTTATAATGTTTTAGAGGGTCTTATTATGTTTAGAATGACATAATAGTGAGCTCTCAACTAAATGACAAAAATATGAGAGCGAGAGGGGTGATGGGACAGAAGAGAAGTTGAAAGCGCTAACAACAGATAAGCATTCACCAACAAAACCAGACAAACCGGCTATTGCAAGAACTCACAAGTGTCAGCATGATTGATGAGAGGAAATAGTATATTTAGCTATTCATTAGTGTGTTAGATAACAAACAGCTAGGTAAACAGCCACTCAGTATTCCTCTCTATATTTTATCTATTAAGTCACTAGTATGTAACACTTAAACCCATAACAGTCTGCTAAACACTTACAGATAACAGCTACAGTACTACCCCCCCCCCCGGGCGCCTCCCCTCTTGCAACCATCTCCCACAAGCCCCATTCATAGCGTCAACCATAACTCCATAAGGGCAAGCATCTTCAGGCAAAATTCAAGCCACCAAAGATTTTCAAGTGGTATTCTCCTCATTTTTTTGGGGTAAAAAAATACCATTTCGGCCCTTTCCTTTTATGAACTTCAAATTCCCCTAAATCTCTCATACAGGCATTATTTGTGTCTTCCACAGTAGTCTCCACCATTAAATCTTTCCTCTCTTTTCCTCTTCCCTAGTTATCTAAATTATCCAAAAAATGATCTAGCTTATCAATTCTCACCAAGAAAGAAAGAAATACAGAATTAGAAATTTAGAACGCACAAAGAACCAAATTTCTATCCCCAACAGTGCCTGCTCAAACCTATAAAATTCCCATTCCACATATTTCCAAGTTGGATTAAAGGTTTAAAAGAAAAAAAGAAGAAGAAGAAGAAGAAGAAGAAGAAGAAGAAGAAGAAGAAGAAGAAGAAGAAGAAGAAGAAGAAGAAGAAGAAGAAGAAGAAGAAGAAGAAGAAGAAGAAGAAGAAGAAGAAGAAGAAGAAGAAGAAGAAGAAGAAGAAGAAGAAGAAGAAGAAGAAGAAGAGAAGAGAAAAAGTGGCACCCAAAAATGTGATATTAAGGCCAGATGAGTTTGGGATGAGGATTTAGTGATCTGCGAGATGTTATTTATATTATAATGAGAAGAAATAATTCCAAAATTTGCAGCTTACTGATGGTTTCCCTCTATGAAGTTGGTTGTTTATAATATATGCAGGGAAGCTATGTTGTAAAGGGCCATGACATATTGATATGGTTCCTTCTTGACTGCCCTACCTTTGAAGTAAATATGATAAGCTATGTATTCAATAGATATAACCGGTAAACAAAATATAATAGCCTACAACAGAGATTCAGATGTATTTCAGCTAAGCTACACAAAGATCTATGATGTGCAAGCTAAGAATCCATTTTACAGAATCCCTAATTCCATTGTACCATTGCATCACCAAAACTCTCCACACAATTTTAAAAAATTCAACATACCCAACAAAGGCCTCCAACCCATGACATTCAACAAAAGCATGTTGGATAACATCCCACAAGCCCTGTTTCCCAGAGAGGTATACTAAAAAGAGGTCTAAGGCACAGCAGTGTGATAAGAAAGAGTAATGATTGCACTAAGCACGTGACACGGATTTACAGCATTCTTAAATCTTGGAGAAGGGGAAGTAGAAGCAGCTAAAAGGTTAATCACCTAGACTTTGAAAGACCATGAACAAGAAAGGGGCACGTATTGGAATGAGCGAATGACAAAGAAAGATGGATCATTTCTCTCATCAATCCCAGCTATTCATAGTATGGATACTATGGAATCAGTAGCTTCACTCAAGCATAAGCCTCATCATCAAAACTGATCTCGTTTTCCAATCACTTCACTTATCACACTCTAAGAAACCAAAAATAAAACCACTAAGGACCCATCATCACTATGGATTTCAGTTCGGATTACAATTTTCTTTTTTATGATATGAAAATTTGTATGACTAACGAGCTTGAAATTAGTCATACTTAAACTAATCATGTTTACTTTACCGTTAACGTACGAGCCCTAATTATTCATACCCAAAAATCAAAATTCACAAAGAAATCAACCAAATCAACACCATCAAACTTCCCACTAAAATCCCACAATTTCAAACATCCTAAACCCACAAAATCATCATAAATTTCAACTAACTATAACAAAATTCAATTCCAAAATCAAACTTTCAACACAATATAAAACCATTGAAATTACTACCAAATAGAAAAGGAAGGATAAAAATTTACCTCAACATGAAATTCATGTTTCCGAAATCTTGTCCAACAAAGCCTGAGCAAGATTAGCAAACCCATCAACCTGAGAATACTTACTAATCAAAGCCACCACATTTTCCTTCTCTTTCAAATCAACCAAATCAAGTAAATAATACAACCCCGCAATCGCATACTTGACCGTATTCCTCACCGGACTCGAAAGACAGTCAATCAACGCTGCAACGCTGCCGCAATCACAAACAATCTTAGCATTTTGTGGGTCAGCGACGGCGTTGCAGATTCCGCCGACACAGAACTCAATGAGACATTCATTAGGCTCAGTTAAGCAGTCGATGAAAAGCTCTAAAACGTTGAGGTCACGAAGAATGGCGTAGTTGTAAGGATCGTAGGAGAAGTTAGCGAGATTAGCGACGATTTTTTCTTTGGATTCGTTGGAAATAGTGGAGTTTTGGAATTGGGTGATGAGTTGTTGAAGGTGTTGCGGTCTTGGTGTGTCGTATTTGCCTGTTCTCTCTGCTTGCCGTTTGTCGTTGGTGAACATTTTTTTTTATTGTTTGATTTGTTTCATTCAGTTGAGAGGTTGGTTTTAGGAGGGAGGTTTTACATTTGGGTTGGCTAGATTGAACGAAGGGTATGGTTCGGGTTCGGGTTCGAGGTCAATTTAAGTTTTTTTTATTTTTTGGAAAATTTAACAACAAACTAACCTTTACCCCAATCTCTCAAAATGCTCCAACCTTTAAATCTTCCCAAAATAAACAGAAATGTGCATTTTTTTCTCCCAAAAAGAACCCAAATGACCAGTAACCTGTACAACCGGTCATTTTTTTAATTTTCCTTTAATTATTTTTTTTCATTAAAGACCTTTAATTATTTTTTACAAATTAACAAAATAATTAAAAAAAATACAAATAAAAAAAAGACCATTTTCCCCTCACCCCGCTGCCAGCCACCCCCCTCCTCCACCTCTCCGGCCACCACTCCCCTTCCCCCTTCACGGATTCCCCTCCCATTTTCGACCATCCCCTTTTCGGCCACCATTCCCCCTCCCCTTTTCACTGCATTTTCCAACCACACCCCGCTCCCCATGAAACCCCCAAACCGACAATCCCTAAATAGGAAAAAAAGTGTGAAATTGATGTAAACAAAAAGAAGAATTGGAAGATTGAAAAACAGCATCATAAATCATAAAATCAATAAGAACAATAAAAAAAAGGCAGCAAAATTCAAGAGTAAAGAAAACATACAGGATCTGAAGAAGATGGATAAGAAGAAGATGTGAAGAAGAGTTTAAGACTAGCAAGGAAGAGGAGAGAGAAAATGACAGAAGATCGGGTATGACATTATGCTTCGTATACCCATCAAACCCGACCCGGATCCACCTCTTCCTCCTCTCTCAGCAACCGCCATTGTTGCACTTCTTCAAAGATCTCAATATACCCTTTTCAATGGATGATTCAAACCCGAATTTCAGAATCTGGGTTTTTTCAATTATCAGAGAAAAGGTATATTTGAGTGTAAAATGAGAGTGAGAGTGAAGAAGATGATTTTGGGTTTGGTGGTCGGTATGTTGGTTTCTATGGTAGTTGTTGCTGGCAGTGTACATAGATGGTGGTGTAGTAGGTGGAAGTGATGGTGGTGAAGGTTACGAGGGTGGCCGGTTGGGGAGGAGGGCTGGTAGTGGTGGGAAAGGGTGATTTTGGGTTTTTGTATTTTATTTTATTTTTTATATTTCTTTTTTTTGTAAAGATTATCAAAAATTAAAAAAAAAAAAAAAAAAAAAAAAAAAAAAAAAAACTTGACCATTTATTTAATGACAAGTGGATTTTTACCTAATATAACAAGTAGGGTGACCTGCTTGGTTCATTTTGAGAGAAAAAATGCAAACTTCTGTTTATTTTTGGAAGATTTAAAGGTTGGTCTATTTTGGGAGAATGGGACAAAGGTTGGTTTGTTGTTGTTAAATTTTCTGTTTTTTTTTTTCAAATAAGGTTTGTTTTATTAACCTGATTTATATTTAGGGCTTGTTTTTGTTCACCTAAATTTTACTTATTTCAGTTAATATTCATTTTATTTTAACAAGACTAATAAATTCAAAAAATAAAATTCTTATTTACTCAATTTTAATATTTCGGAAGTGTATTTTATTATAACCTATAAGTATGAAATAAATCCACTTTACATATCTTGAGTATTCATTCACATGAATATAACTTCCAAGTTCCACAAGTTTTCAAGGGAGCATCTCATTGTTTTGTAAAAATCCTGATCCGGAACTTACAATCCTACGATTTTCCGATCCAAAATTGTGTGATCGATCCGGATCTTTGGTAGGATCTTAAAGTTTGTAGGATCTTACGATCCTACTCCAATATTAATTATGGGTGGTAGGATCTCAACACGATCCTACGATTTTATTACGATCCTACGATCCGATCCAACATTTTACTATAATATGAGACTTTGATTTATTTTGACATATTTTTTTATTACTCATTAGGTTATATGCACCTAAATTTAATGTATTCAATAATTATCGCTAATAAATTAGCGAATCCGAGACATTAATACGATTTTATCAATTGACAACTTGCAATTGTCATAGTTAAGGTCTCATTCTTGACAAATTTGCACATAATTTATTAATTTAAACTTGTGTTATTAATCTTCTAACTACCATACAGACAAAGCTAAATAAAGATCGACCTTTCTTAACCAAACCAATGTCTTTTAGCATTGAAACCCCTTAAAAGAAATGTTTTTAAGTCAATTTATAGCATAATATATAATATTATTCGTTATTAAGTAGGATCTTACGATCCTACGATCCGATTCTATCAATTCGATCTCATCCCCCCTCATTGATCCAAAGTAGGATCCCGATCCTAACAATCTTGGTCCCTAAAGGTACGAAACTTTTATGTAAGTGCCACATCGGATCTTATACGGGTCAAAAGTCAATATATTGACCTAGGTTGATTTGACTATTAATTAAATTTAATTATTTTGGGTAAAATATATTAAATTAGCCCATTTTAATTATTTTAATTAAATTGTTCATTTAATAGCAAAAACCTACTAAAATGGGTTAAGCTACGAATATGAGTAAAGATTACCAAGTCAAAAGCCCAACTCCATGTACATCAAATTAAACCCTAACCCTAAGAGTCACTCACTCTATAAATAGAGCTCTCTCTATTTCATTTAGGGAAGAGAGGAGGAAAACAAGTAGCATCAAAATACAGAGAAAAACCTCTCAAATATTCTAAACCTCTCCAGAGAACAACAAGCATTCGACGTGTCGTTCTATTTTAGATCACCCGTGGAAGAGATCAAGCCTCGACAGCCTCAACACGAAGGAAAGAAGAACTTTGAAACATGAAGCAGCACATCGCAAGTTACCAATTCAACCTCTACATCAAATAGTCATTGATAGAGATCAAGCCTCGTCGGCCCTCAATCAAAACCCGAGTCAAAGTTTTGCATCAACTATCTTCGATCGTGATCAAATCTCGACGACCCTCGTTCGAGAATCAAGTCAGCCCATAAAACAAGTCAAAGCTAAAGTGGAGATTGAATCAGAGGAGCAAATTAGAGATTGTACTCAGAAATTCTCAAATTACTAAAATTAACACTTTTTTTTTTTTTTTTTGAAGCCAAACTAAAATTAACACTTTGTTGCATTTGTTTTAAATCTAAATTTGGAAATTTAAAATTTGTGTTTACAGTCCCAATATCAACTTCATCATCATCCGTAAGGAAACCTTGCTAACACCTATTCAGTGTCGTCAGCAAGGTTATTCTACCAATCAAGATCCGAGAGACGACTAATGCTTTTAGTAATGTGTACTTGAGTTGTTTTGTAAATTATGTAAGGATCCTTAATGATCCTACTGTTTCATTTTGGCTTAGTGTGTATTTGTAATCAGTAAACCTTTTGCAAATCAAGCCTATGTCAAAATAAAATACTGTAGTTTGAGTGATGCCATTGTCCAAGCAATACCTTTTACTACTATATAAACTTCAGTATACTGTAACAGACTAGTACTAGTAAAACAAAACATAACGTTTACAAATGACACTGAATCTACTACACAAAAACATCTATCGCCAAAAAAATTATCTATATAAATACTAACTTACACGAAGTATTAGACAAAGTAAATAAGCGCGATTGATAACCCTTTGTCAAACACAGAATTTACTAAACTGTAATGTGTGTCTATGACCAGAATAATTTGTATAAAAATCCTTCAAGATACACCTGTGCATACAAGTTTGAGTTTGATGGCCGCCAATAGATGTTCGGAGCTAATCAGAGTACTTGGATATCAACTTGTCAACATGAATGATGATATCATCAATGCGTGATTGAACAGCAGCTTGAGGCTGAAGCATCCATGTCACAAATTGGTGAAGTGTATCAGGATATGGCGGCTTTGGTCCGGCTGGCCATTTTATCTGAACATTTACAATGGCCAATTGTAGGCTTCCACCAGATTCTCCCAACGCATACTCAAAGGGCGAGACACCATACCTGCAAATAGCAACATAGGTGATGTGACAAAAGATGTTTCTTTTTGCTAAACATATTATCATTCAAAATCCATTTACTCGGTTACTCAAAAATATTCAATCAGTAGGATTTCTCTCTCATTTTCCCACTTTTTTATCGGGTTATTCCTACATTGTAATTGTAAAGGTACTCTGTAGAATCACAAACGCAATGAAATCTAGCGGAAATTTGATGCAACAGGATCTAAAAGGAAACTTTACTCCATAAAATTAACAGAAACCAGACAGAGCAAGTTGCAATATAGTAATCAAAGTAAAGATATTGGTGAATGAGTCACATTATGATCTTCACAGTGAAGGCCAAAACTGTGTGTTAAAAATGGTACTTACATTATTGCGTACAATGTGCATCCTAGTGACCATATATCAGTTCTTTCATCGATATTGCACTGACTTGGACAATCCCACAACTCAGGAGCACGAAAAGGGGCAGAACAGTGTTCAGCTGCCCAATCCTGCAAAATGTATCCCAATTTTTTAAGTAAAATCAAGAACAGAATTATAAGAACAGAGAACCTAGTCCTAGTCCAACCACATCTCATCCCTTATCATAACCCTTATGTATGCAGACAAATACACTACATAAGATGATGTTTATAAACCTAGCTATAATGATTATATAGATGAAATTTTTTTATCACCAGATCCAATCAGAAAGGGCATTCCACCATTACTAGACAGCAAAATAGTAGCAACCCTGCCTCTCATGCAAGCATACTAGATTATAAAACGGAGAAACAAGTGCCTCTGATACTTTAACAAGTACGGGAAATTATGAGGTTTCATACTCAGAAGGACAATACAAGGTATACAACATTTATGGAACTATTTTGTTGGGGACATAATGGAAGATGCAAAAGAACTAGAATAGAGATTAATTTCTTGATATTTTGTTGCCACAAGGAGGTAAATCTAGTAGATAACTCCACTCTTTAAGAAGCTCTTCTCTTATGTTTCAAATGTTTGAAA